GAAATCATGTTGACTATCCAATAAAATTCTAAACTTTGTTAAATGACTTTGCAAAGCATCTTTTAACAAACTTTCCAAAATTTTTCCCACACCTGATGTAAGACTAATGGGTCTATAATTACTGGGACAATTTTTATCACATCCCTTGAAAAGTGGAGTCACATTAGCCAACTTCTAATCCTTTGTACCTGCCCACTATTCTAGGACTGACAAAAAATAGTAGCAAGTGGCTCACATATACAATCTTTAATCTCCTTCAAAACCCTTGGAGGAATATTATCTGGCCCAGGAGCCTTATCATTTTTAAAACTTCCCAATATTTTCTTAACCAGCTCAGAATTAATGCAGTCATTTTGTTTGATCTCGTTTCCATTTACGATTAAACCTAATCATACACAGTTAGGCCAGTTGCTTGGTCGATAAACTCGTGGCTTTGTGTGCAACTGAGGCAAACATTGTATTGCAATTTGAAAAAACTGCTTGATTTAGTCGAGTGACAGATATTCTATGTAACATACAACATAATCCTCGCTAGATTCATGGTTCATACTGAATTGCTCGGATCGATTTCAAGCACTCTCAGAATGTTTTTCAAGCACTTTTTGGAAGCTAAAATCTACATAAAAATTTCACTGAACTTTTATAAAATTCCTATTAATTTGTTCAACATATGAATGTAGACTAAAAAGGAAAGACTTTACTTATTGCCCTCAACTCTGTAACATGCATTAGTTAGATATATCGATATATCTTATTATATTTTCAAGTAATTTTGCAAAAAAAAAAAAAAATCCCCTTTTCAAGCATTTGAAATTCCTTTCTCAATTTCAAGGATGCTTATGCACCTGTAGATTCTCTGTAGTATATTTTATTGTGTATACAACTCCTCCAAAAGCATTGATGCAATATATATTTCTGCAAATGTATATTGATACATATATATAGCAGTTCAGCTGAATTCTTTTAATGATTACATATTTCATGATGTCTGAAAATAAAAACCTTGGTTTGACAGCTTGTGGGTGGCTGCATGTTACAACCACAGTAGTTGAGAAATAAGTTTAACCCAAGAAAGCTATCAAAGTAATATGCATGTGAGATGGGCAGTCTTAGAGTATGTCATAATATGTAATGTTGATCTATGTGTATATATAAATAAATGTATGTGTATATGAAAATTACATAAATTTAACCATGACTATTATATAACAAGAATGGTACAATTATACAGAAACACAACTATTAGGTAACATGTGAGTAAAGGATTTGGTCTGAACATTAAGACTTATTATATGAAGTTAACTGTGATTATTAACCATAGAGGTGTTATTACAGATACAAGGTATCTGTTATTTTCATTATTATTAGTGAGAGGATGTTTAAACTTTGATGGCAAAATATTTGATAGGTAGTGGATTTTTATGGAAAGATAAAAGTAACAAGAAAATTGTCACTAACTCTGAGGAAAATGCAATTTTACCTACTATCTTGCAGTAAAAGTAGTGTAAGATACTAAATTGGATTGAATCAAAATATTTATCAGCAGGTGAAACCCATCAACAGTATATAATATTCAAGAAAAGTAACTTGAATTATATGTAAACTTGGTGCAGATAGTGTTTTATTTTGTGATGGGATATTTTCAGTCATGCAGAATGAAATACTTTATAAGCATATAATTTTACTGAATATTTTCTCAACATTGTTTCAATACAAGGTACAGTTAAAGATGCATGAAAATGCAGGTTGTGAATGTGCTACTAGATGAGGAAAAGTTTAACATCCATATGATAAAACCTTAGTAATTGCACCTAGCTAGTACTAAAATGGCATCTGAAAGAAGTTCCAAGGGAGTATTGATTAAGTATTAACTTATTGTCACGGTCAGAAGTTCTGGGTGTTCTACTAACCTGGATCAGCTTGTGTGTAGGAACCAGTTTCTACAATCTTGGCTCCTGTTCTTTTTTACTGGAACCCAGAGCTCTGTTTGTGTAACTACCAAACAGTAGTAAAGGAAATGGGCATGGGGGTGGATCAGAAGGTAAGCTGTGTTAGTTGTTGCCACAAAAATTGTAGCAGTGGGCAGCACAGCTATACCTATTATGGCTGATATAGCATGGTGGACTGAGCTGTCCACAGATGATAAAGATACATGTTTTACAGGCAATAAAGTGAGCGAGTACATCCAAAATGTGTAGCTATAGAAATAAACAAGAGATAATGGAGGAGAGGAACTTCACTGGTACACTGGGACCTCTGTGAATCATGAGGGAACCTTTGAACTCCACAGCAAAGCTTGGGTGATGTATGCTAGTGATAAAACAACATTTCTACAGTGAAATCAAATCTTGATGAAAGTTCTGATTTTGTAACTACACATATTTCTTCTAATATATAAATGCATGATATTAAAACCATATTTTACAAAAAAACTATCTCACATTCACTAAATGCACAAGAAAAGGGCAATATTAAATAGAAACCTCTATCAGTGGATAAAGCACAACTTAAGTCAAAATGTAAAAAATGACCTCGTATAGTAACAAACTTTATCATTCACTAGTTCTTTAATAAAAACTTTCCTGAAGGTGTGAAATAAAACACGATTAATGTTCAAACAGAATTTTTTGTGTTAAGGATTTATTATGCTATTAATTCACAGGATGTTCATTTTGTTGTATAATAAAAGCCACAAACACTTTGATAAAGTGAAACTTTGACTTACCTGTATTGTGCTCAAAAACACTTGAGTTATTTCAATAATGATAAAACATTTCTAACAGAATTGTGAATACAAATATCTATTAGTATTTATGGCAAAGCTACTAAGGTTATCTGCTACCACCCCTAATTTTGAACTACTGACCACAGAAAAGGCAGAAAGTCAGTAGCACCACAATGAAATTTTTATAATGCACCCACAGTTAAAATACAGAGAATATTTTGTGGTATTGGATGGGTTCAAACCAGGTTCATGAACAAACTTTCTTAGTAAGATAATTTCTGTGTGATGGAATTAACTTCATGACATAGACATTAAAGGAAACAAGAAATGTTTAATGCTATTTGAAGCTATACAATTATGATTATGGAATGTCACAAGTGTTGGTGCAATGTACTTACAAACTAAGGTACCTTGAAACCACTCAGTAAATTTAAAAAACAACATCTTCACTTAAATGTTATGCATAAAATTAGATTTTAAAATTTCTTTGAGAATGAAAATTTGCTGCTTATTGATTTTCAAAATAAATAAATTACATGACACTGTTGAAACACTTCTGGAAATCTATTGAAACAATGTAGCAACATAAACAATTCACTAAAACAAAATACTTTAAGGAAATCTCTCTTATTAAACATATAATCAATTTAAAAACTGATTCACTATTGTAATAGTACATAATATTTATCGAAGCTGCAGTTCTCTTAGCTACACTGTTTCAATCAACAGCATTCCACATGTACTTATCTTGGCAATCACTAACATAAACAATTATACTGCATATACAGTCCACAAACTACATCTCCTATTGAAATTTCTTGTTTTAAACTTCCGTACCTAATAATAAAAAATAAGTAATGTTAACTTATTTTATTAAATTGGTTTTTCATATGCAGTTTTCACAAAATAATGCATTAGTATTCCACATAATTTTGCACTTCTGCATGATTCATGTTAAAAGTATTCACAGTTTTACATTAGAGAATGTTAAGCTCAGTTTACAAAGTTCTAGCTTCCAGGGTACTCGGAAAGTTTAATTATATTCTGTATGTTGTAGGGCATACCAAAAGGTTGGTTGCTACTGTAATTTTGAGGAAATTAAGATCTAACTTTTGGGGCATTTATGTACAAAAATTGCATTTTAATGTGTGAACACAAGTTATGTAGTAACTGACAACATTAAGTTTTCATGACAACATATATAACAGTATTGTATTTTTAAATGTGCAATACATGGTGAAGCTATGCCTTCCTTTTCACCGTTACATTATCTGGTATACTTTACTGTCTAATACTATTACATAAGTAAAAATAAAATATTCTACTTTGTGATACTTAAATCAGCTGTGTGCTTAAATAAAAGTGGTTGGGTTCTTTCAGAATAAACTGTTTCTTGGATTTTATCCAATTTTTGAAAGTTTAAGGTTTTTAACAAAATTTCAAATTTTCATTTTGACTGAGGAGTACAATGAACAATTTGATTTGAGACTTTCATTTTTACACAAGCAACAATTACATTTACTACCAATTTCACAAAGGCTATACAAGAAAACACTGAATCTTTGAACACTAAAGAAATACTTGCATGAAATATTCATCTTTAAAACAAACAATCAAAAACTAATTCACATTCAATATGAGTTTTATATCATTTATTATAAATTGAAATCCTTAGCTTGTAAAAAAACCATGATTATGGAGATTTTAAAACGTGAAATTAATTAAACTTGTATCAGTTTTTTTATACACAGAGTTACATAGCAACTTTAAAAAACCCAAAGTTCCAAATGTAAAAGCACAAGTTTATGATGTGAATATTTTTTATGCAGAATATCAGGTCTAAAAAAGTGATTATTTATGAATTAATCCCCAAACTATCACTAGATACTTAATTCCTTAAGAGATTTTAACAGTTTTTCACTACCTTTTCTCATGAACATTTACAAAAAATGCTGGAACCAAAGGGAAATCAGAAACAGTAATATCCATTCTCTCAAAAGAAATGGTTTTGGAAAAACTTATTGGTTGTTCAATTGGATAATGCTTCTTAACATGTTTCTACCTATATTCAAAATATCTTTAAACTGACCAAACATTTAGAGCAAGTTTGTTTTGTATGTACAATACAAAATTCAATGTGTGTTTCCTTAGTTACAGAGAAATGTCATGAAAATATTACATTGTATGAATTTTATGTTCATACGTTTTGGTATAAAAATAACATTCAGACTTTCTGATTGAAAAAAAAAAAAAAGATAATCACAAGAACACAATGTTTGAAAGAAAGCATGAAGAGCACACAATTTATTTTCAGAATGGTGGCACTACCAATCCAGGCTCCAACACACTACTACATGTCACAGTTTCATGCTATAAACGATTTTAACAGATACAGTATGAATAGTGATGAAGAATTAGCAAACTTGTTAAGAACATTAAGAAATGTCAATCAGGACAAAAGAAACTAGGTATAACTAAGACAAATTTTTCCTTGTTACCACTTCCTATAGCATATGCTTAACTTCTTAAATAGCCTAGTTGATCTTTCCTCAATAACTAACTGATAAGAAATGTCTAGGTTTTATATAATCCATACTTTAATATAGAGTGCAAAATTATTAAAAACTTCTATATGAAAATATTTTCTTAATCAATGCTTTCTTTGAACAGGCTTCAAAATGTCATGTTTGAAAATAATGTGTAACCAAACATAGAGTTACGATTAAAACAGGGATTACTTTTTCATAAATTCAATCTATATGAATATCTTTCTGAATAAAATGGGAAAATTTTTAGTTTGAGAACAAATTACTTCTTAATAGACATAAATATATGTATAAGATATTAGCTTTTCTTCAAATAATCAATGTCACTCATTTTTTCAAGAAACAATTTTCAAAGTGTACAGTTCCTCACAAGTATTTAAACATAGTATCATCAGTTACTTTATGAAGACTACTAAGCAAGACTGACATTTTCTAACAGGGATGCAAGTTTTTTGAATTGTTATAAACTACACTGTTATTTACAGGTAAGTGCATGTTATAATATTATACAGTATACAGCTTTTCACTTCTCCATGAAATCACTTGAAAAGCTGTATCTTATAACACTGTAAAAAAGTTGTGTGGGACTTGCAAAATTCACAAAAATAAATGTATCATTATTCAGCTAATAAACTTGTTCATTATACGGATACTTCTGATAATATGAGAAAAACAAAGACATCCAAAAATTATAATACTATTACAATTAGATTTTGAACTAGAAAAGAATGGAATAATTTATCAAAAACATGAAATAAATTATTTCATACTGTTTGAAAAGAGAAATATATTTAAGTATTAAAAAATAGTAACACAAGCTGTACTTCAATAAAGTTCTGTATTTTGAAACAAAACCTGAGGATACATTTCCCAAGGAAATCTCTACATACCAAAAATAAAGGGGTTTGGTTTTTATATTATGTGTGCAACTGTATTTTCTTTAATCAATTATTAGAGCTAAAAACTATTTTAGAAACACTTTAATGCACAAACTATAAATTACTATTTGTTATACATATAAACTTTCATTGCAAACCCATATCATGGATTTAAATGTCAAACAGCAAATTCCACTGTACATTCCATTATTTTGTATACGAAAGTTATCAATTTGATTCACAATATTTTATGGTCCCTTTAAATACTGGATTTATTCAATATCCCTGCAGTCCATTGTACACTTTTGTCTTGGTCTCTTCTTGAAATATCTTTTTAATAGCTGTAATAAACCAGATTTTAATTGCAAGTTAGAATTTATGAACTTAAAAATTTAATGTTGCTTTTAGTTAATTACTTAAATGTAACAAATTTCTGTAATAGATATCAACAGCAAGCATTCTGACAGTACTGAAAATTTTAGTATTCTTAAAAAAAAAACAACCTAAATAGCCTGAGTGCATGTTTAAGTGACTTGTATTTTCCCAATTATGTTGCAAACTAAATTCTCTCTGAAGCCAAACTGAGTTTACAGATAAATTTTACACAGCTTTTTATTATTAGAAGGATAATTCAATGAACTTTGATTCAAACACAGTTGTACATGAAATATTAAAATTATCTACATACAATACTTTAATATGTTTGATGACATAAAATATTGATTTAAAATGCCTTCTTTGTAATTCAATTATGCTTAAGCTCCTTGATATCCACAATGTCAAATTTCATGTACATAATAGCTTTTTCTTTTAATCTTTATCCAACGACTTAAGCCTTTTTGCACTATACCGATTATGCATTTGACTTATTAAACAAAAAATATCATTAAATACATCAATTTTCTCCTTAAACTATGAACTGGGAAATTAAACATGAAACTAAAAGCACTACTCAATAATTTGTAAGACTAGAATTAATCAAGCTTTTGCTTTTTGTTTTGTCAGATTAATAACTAAAACACAGAAAAACTATAGCAGTACACTAAATTTTCCCAAATAGCTGCATACAAAGTCATAGAAATATGTTCTAAAATAACTTCCATCACCATCTAACTGAAGCTGTACATTAGAACTTTACAAACACAGATTATTTAGATTTTCTTATACATACTTATATTTGCTTTTGCTGCTTCATTTTCAATAAATGTAATTAAATACAGAACAATTCAACACCCACTAAAAAAAATTAATGCAACGTGGATTTTTAGGCTTGTGTTTTTCTTGGGTAACAACTGATTTAAATTAAAAGAAAAAAGCTACAACTATACATAAAAACCTTTAAAGTAGCATAAATTTGATTCAAAGTCTTAATTAAAGCAATTCAGTAAATCACCATACAATTACCAATCTGAATCTATATGGCATTTATGACAGAACTACACTGAGAAAATGAATACTCCAGTAACAAAAAATTGTTTTAAAATATTAGAACTATTTTTATGGAGTTAATAATTTTTACAGCAAACTATTTAAGTTAAATGGCAATGTCATCTATCTGAAAATCATATGTAACATGTTTAAAAACCTCCTACCAACATTTCTGATCAATCTGTGGTGCCCATGGGTTTCAATAGCCTTTCATTCCTCCTTCTAAGCAGCTTTGGGGTCCCTCTTATGGTCGCTACAGACATTGTTCTAATTTGTCTTAAGTTGTTTTAATTGTATTCATATCTGTGCTGGTTAAGGAAGACTGTAGATTTCATTTACTTTAAACCAATCTAGAATTACATACAAGGTGCATTATCCTGATGTTAGAAGTCTGGAACTTCCTCACGCAGCTGCACCAATGCTGTCACCTTGAGTTAATGATGTTTCCTTCCACTACCATCAATGAACTGAGTCTCCACAAACTGAAACAGTCCCAAATGATATCACCATCATCTGTCAGTGATGCAATAATGTTATTGTATCTTAGCTGAAGCCAAAATGCATCTAATCATCAGATGGCAACAGTGTGTCCTTAGATTAGTCACTCTACAGAATGGATTTTTACTAACCTACATTCCAATTTTCATAATCTATGACCCAGGAGAACTGATGGTCTGCATTGTCAGTGGCTTATGATCTGCAGCTTGTTCACAGAATCCAGAAGAATGCAGTTCTTGTGCATCACAGAAATGCTGAAATACTTTTCTGTTACTTCATTCCCTTCTTAAGTAGCTTGTTTGAATGCCAAACATTTGCTTTTTCTCAAATATCTGTTCTTTTGGATAGTACACTAAATAATTTCGGACAAAGTGACCAAGTTTCAGCTTGTAACCTTCCATATCAAAACAGTATATTTTAATAGACATAGTGGACATACCAAGTACATATTCTGCCATCTTCACCCCCAACCCACTGGTTTCTGAAGAGAGTGGAGAGAGTACACAGTTTGCATCACTCCCAGGATGAGAACCACTGCAATGCTGTACCATGATCAACTGTGAGAGTGCATGCTCTGAAACACTCTTATGACCAATGTCTTTGACTGTGTTAAATGCATTGATTTGGATTGGGGATGGAAGACAACAAACCAGATGATGACAAGGGGCTATTTTTTGCTAACCAGTGGGGAGAGAGGGAGCATAATTTCAGCATTACTTGGTAAATAATTACACTGTTCTAATTACATAACATTAGTAGATATACTGCAGTAAATTAGTTTTATTTAAATCTATTTAATGAGCCTTACAGAAAGCAATACATTTAGTACTGTATAATGTAGTTATCACAAGCTCTATTTGATAAGTTTAAGTTAGGTCTTGACAAATTTTGGGTACCAGGTCACCACAGCGACTAAAGATTTCATCGTGGCACCTGGCATTTTCTACCATTTTATTCATGCGTAGGGCTGTGATAAATAGAACTCGAATCTAGAACAGTTTTGGACTCTTGGAGATATGGAACTATTTTCATGTTCTTTGTGTCCTGAATCAAACTTTGTTTATAGGATTTTAATAGTGGATTCATGCATTTTCAGGAATGAAGCTCTGCAGTTGCACAACACATTACTAATTTTGGGGCATTTTGTTTTTCTTCTTTCTTTCAATTCAACCAATCAGAGCCGTGTTTAGACTAATATGGGACCAAAGGCAGTTAGTTTAAGCAATACTATCAAGTGGTTGTTGATATCATGTGATAGTTAGCATGCACTTGTTGCTGTGAAAGTAAATAAATATGCACCGGTGCTTGTTCTGGGAAAGCAAAAAATCATGGATAACAGAAACAGAGGATAATCGAGGCAATAGTGTTTCTCACTAATTAACCCATTGTTTACTCTAAATAAACATTTTCAACATATTTAACTTCCTTGTTTTAAATTGTAATCTTTTTACTGTCATTTAATCACATTGTCATGAAAAATTATAAAAGTCGTCACAATCATAATCATAAAAGCCAAGTGTCAGTCTGTCAGTCACACTCAATTTCTCTGAACTTCTCAAATTACACAATTCCATTCCATTTTTTCTCTTTTAATTGCCTGTCACCATTTTAGCTGAATTTAATTGCTAACATAGGTGTAAATAGTTCCTAAATTTTGGTACTTTTTCTGCTATAGACACGGAAGTTCATTCACACCCTATCAACGCCTGTGAAAAATAAGTCAAAAATTAGCACAAATCTATGCTTGGGAGCTATTACAAAAAAAGACTTTGTTAAAACAGCCTGAAGATACCAATTCTCTGTAAGGAAGAAGACAAAGCATAACATGGCAGTACCCCAACACATCCTGAACATACATCTCAATTAAAGGATGCTCACCGTGCAGCACAGAACAGCAGGCGACAATGAAGTTGAGTGAAATCTTGAAGTGGATTTTGTGTGTTTTTGAATACTATGTCTTTAATCACTAATCACCAAATTTTGTTAAGATACACAAAGCATATTAAACGTTATAGTGATGGTCATTTTTTGGTGTAATCCGTCAAGCCTGTAGCATGAAAGTTAAACAAGGCAGTTATACAAGTATACTTGCTGCCATATATTAACTTGGCTTAAACAATTTTTAGCTATGAATGCGAAAACTCTGGAGAGATTACATCCATCACTTACTGGATGGATCTACTGAACCAGAAAAAAAAAACTCTTATACATTTTTAAATATTACTAATTATTTGATTTATTTTTTGTATTATATTAGTCCAAGTAATCAATTGTTGTGTTTCTGGTAACCTGATCAATACTACAATTTTCAATACAGAAATAAAAAAACAACCACTAGCACCACATTCCTTCTATTCTGTGATAAAATGAATAGTCCTCAGGCTTGAAAAAGCCATGCATGTAAATTGTGAGGTTCTGCATTTTTTTCTTACAGCAAAGTCACATCTGGCTATCTGCTGTGTCCAACAAGGGGAATCGAGACCCTGAATTTAGCGTTGTAAATCCTTAGACTTACCGCTTTCCCACCAGGGGACCCCATGCATGTAAAATAACATCAACAAAAACAATACAACGTTTAAGTACCTGATGGGAGTATGTTTTCTGAACATGTTTAAAACTTCAAAAATAAAAAAAAATTGATGTTTTCCTCATATAGACTAAAAGGTTCTGAAATTATATATGAACTATACAGAGAATTTGACAAAAAAAAATCATTTGAAAGTATTGTCTGTTCAGATGAGTGGAGAAATAATTACACAAACTCTTTCCTGTCTGCCAAACCTTGTCATGACAAAGTCCAGTTGAGCTGACTATGAATAAAAAAAATGTCTGTAGTCATAGTGGTGTCTTGAAAGTACAGGCTGATGATAGTTTGTAGTAGCACTTCAAGCTATCTTATCAATATGAATAGTCACAAATACAGCTGTTAAAAAAGTGTGAAACTAGCATGCTTGAAAATTAGCAATAAACGTTAGGGGTAATTTTTACAATGCCACACAAGGTTGCACTTCTATTGAAGAAGCTCTGTTAAAGTTTAAAAGCTCAGTTTTATTCATAGAATTGAAGACTGCTATGTTTCTTTCTATGGGTTACTTTAAAAAAAAAGGTTTAATTCACGATTGTACATCCAGTTTCTTACTTGTGTGTGTTTTACTGGAAATTTAAATATTAGGTTGGTTAGCAATGCTGAACAATTTATTGGTCTTAAATAAAAGTTTGTATGTCTATAAGGAAATTTTATTTTTGCATGTTATCAACCAAGCTTCCAGTGAATGGTGGTAAAAAGTTGAAATGCATGTTATGCAGTAAAATACAAGAGAAATATATAAAAGCAAACAATATAATGGATCCTCTTGGGTAAGATTTATATACATATAAAAAAGTGGTGTTTAAGTTAGGCTTGAACAATGTTTTATTTGCTGATAGTGTTCAATTTTTGTGCAATTTTTTTTAAATCTATCTCTTTGTTCCAGAATGTTATCAGAAACATTTTTGCTTGACCTTATTACTTAATTATAATTTATGTTTTAATAATAGAAATATTTGAAAAACTTTTTGAACTGGCGCATCCATCTTGTCATGTTTTGTCTTAAGTCTTTCTTCATCTTTTTAAATATACAACTTTCACAATGTCTGTATACAGTTAGGCCTAATCCAATTGAATTAAAAAAAAAGGCTCAAGAAAGACCTTTAAAATTACAGATAAATTATATTGATTTCTGTTATTCATAAACAAATAAAATTCATTGTTGAGGATAGCTTGAAAAAGCACCTTCAAAGTTTGAATTTTATTCAAAATTCTTAGTATGACTTTCTAAAGAAATTTTCTTAACTGTTTTTGTAGGACATTTGTTTATCTAGATAAGGGTACTCCTTACTGATTTTGAGTTTCTAGATTTTCACAAGTTTATTGATAAGGTTAATTCCTCTCCAAAAGGTTAATTACTAAGTTAAAATTGTTATTGAAATGAGGGAATATTACAAATGTGGATTAAAAACTGGATTTAAGTTACAAAACAGAAGTTTGTTATTTGGAAAATGTGACCAAAGAAATATCTCAAGGGTCTGGTTTTGGATCTTTAATAATTGTATAAGGAAAGATGTTTACATATGCTGATAATACCAAACTGTTTAGGAAGGTTGGTTCTTCAAAAAGTGTTTACTAAATGCAAAAACTTGGACAGTTTTACTATGTAGATTAATATTTGGAAAAGTTTCAAAATTGAAAGTAATACATTTTGGGCATGACAATTTAGAAAGAACTTTTTTTTCTTGTATGTGAGAGATATTAAGTTGTAGAGAATGTGGATTTGTGTGTGATGATCAATAAAAGCCAAGTTTTCAGATAAACGTTTGGAAGTGATGAAAGATTACAAAGCAGTTTCCCTCTGAGGTCTATCTACAGAAAATAAGTTCAGGAGGTTGTCATCACTTTGATACAGAATCACCTAAAAAATATTTAAATTTTTCCTGTTATGTTTATCAACTCGTTTCATTGTTTGGTGGATGACATAATGTGTGCTGTTAGTTAAAAACTATTTTAAATATATGCTTGATAATTTTATGGATGTCAGAAGTTACATAAATGCTGGTCTGGTTTCTTTGTTGGGCCCAATGGACTTTTGTTGCCTAGTTTTTCTTCTGTTCTCATATAGGGTCTAAACCAAGTTGTTTCAAAACATAGCATCAAGTTTTTAAGGATGTAAAAAACATTAATATTGTAAACCTTAGCCAAATTCATAAACAAAATAGTTTTTCAACTACAAAAGGTACTGTAGTAATCTATAGTACAATTAACATTTTTAGGCTAGACTAAGAGAATATCAAAGTATGGACGGCACAATGCTGTACAACTTTTCTATCTTTCATGCAAAACAGAAGCTAACAGTGACACTAATATTAATACATATATTTTGTGTGTATGGCTTTATAGGGGTTTGACTCTCTCGCCACGGGGGCAGTCAAACTGACCAATTTAGTAACCATTTTGTACTTGTTATAGTTTCCAAACTATAATCTTTAATACACTCTGTGTATCTTCACAAAATCTGGCAGACTTTCAGTGCACATTACAAGACTTTTGTACAAAAAAAAATAAAAATTTTTCTTACCCAAGCAATTCTGATAAAAACTTGTCTGTGAACATATAGTCTTTACATTTTACTAGTGCAAGTGCAAAGTCCTTCATGTTAACCATCTCAACATGGGCTCAGTCAATTTGACCAGCCACGTAACCTCTTTGTACTCATTTAGAGACTTTATAGATATGATACTACTAACTTTTAATATAGTAAGTATATCTTCACAAAATTTGTCAGTCTTCAGTAACGATGATAAGTCTTTCACATACAAAAAAATCAGATTTTTTTAGTGAAGTATTTTTAATAAACTAAAAAAAAAAAAGATTTGTCCATGAATATAGAGTATTTGTTTTCAATAATCCATGCGTAAATAATCCATGTACATACCTTTCTTCATCTCAAAAACCTCAAATTTCATTTGTGTAATCTCTAAAACCTCCTAAATACATTTCAAGTGTTTGTTTTCAGTAAAACTTTATATTTCTGTTATTTCCTCTACCCTAACTCTAACTTGTAACTATGAAAAAACAAAGTCTAAATTAGCCTTTTTTCTTTCTAGAATGCCTTCAAATTGTAACATGAATCTACATTTGTTTATCCTAAGTAGCTTTGAACTCGTAACAGTATACATCTATTTATACTTAAATCTTATGGTTTTATTGCCCTTTGAACTGTGTCTAACTACTATTCGCACCATTATAAGTTGTAAATCATTTGAGGAACATGCAGCTCACATTACACTTTGAATTACGTTACACACGAGCTGCTTGCGTGTGTGCCTCATGAAACATTTTTATTATATTAATATTATTATTTATTTTACCTAACCTTACCTAAAGAGATCCCTATTTTTACATTTTAGGTACTTTTATAATAATAAATAAATAAACATGAAAAACAAGAAAAAAGTACTTACCTGGGTCTTTTTTTTGCTGTTGATTGTTAATGACACTTAACTCTACTTTTTTTATACCAATTGTAGTAATGTACTAAATAATTTTTATTTAATTAAATAATACACTAAAGAACATAGAATAATAACATGAAAAAAGCAGAAACTTCCCCTAACTATCACAGTTTTTCTGGTTTTCTAACTATGCAACAAGAGCTATTACAAATTCATCAAAACTAGTTGTTATCTTTCCCATGGGAACCAAGTTTGTACTAACAGTGAAATTGACAATTTTCCATTCAGGAAACAATGTAATACGTCATTTTATAGATGAAAACCTTGGCTTCCTATTGGTTATAGATAATATAAAATTAAACATAAGAGAGAACTATTAACAAATCCTAAAAGAGAAGATGTGCCAGGTGGGTGTGGCAAGAGGGGTCTGTTTTTTGTTTGATGCTCTGTAACGAAACAAGATTAACGGCTATAAAAATTATGCTTTGTATGAGCAATGTCGATTTTAAAGTGAGTAACTTACATAAAATTTCATATTTATTGGAAGGGTGGGGCATGAAATAGAGAAGAAGGGATGCCTAGAAAAATATGTCACATTTCTCACACTAGGGAAAATTCAGGACATTTTTAAATACTGCCTTCTTATAAAATTAAGAACTTAAAACTTATATACTATTAAAATTTGGTTTATTAGCTGAATTTGTATGCCAGATTTATTCATTTACTATGATAAAGTAGTTTAATCAAATTTTGAATGTAACTCACTAAAACCTTGTGACATGCACTGAAGAAGAAGATGCCCATGGCAAATGGATTAAATTAGATTAAGGTAACAAAAGTATATGTTCCTAGTTCTCCTGCCTGAAACACAATTTTGTTATAAAAGTAGCTTTTTCTCAGTTTCAAAATTTTGTTTTTTCCACATGACTACATATATACAACAAACTGCTCTATTTAAGTATGGTTATGATTACTACATAATATAAATGGAAGCCAAATATACATAAAGAGATAAGATAAAACAGATTTAAAAAAAAACTTTTGATATTAAGCCATACATATAACAAACAATAATTGACTTTACCTTCTATATTTTCTTTACTGAGTTGACCTTTTGGAAAATCTACATCAAATGTAATATACAAAGTTCCAAAAACATTGTTGTTCTCATAGTTTGGCATTCCCTCATTTTTCTTCCTAAGTCTGGCTCCAGGCCAAGTTATCTTATCTCTTGATACATGAACCTGTAATATTAACATAAATTAATCTACTAGTTTTGTAAATCATAATACTGAAAGTTTATGTAAGGAACCAGTGTAAGAAGTACTTGTATATATGTGCAATATTGCCCATGTTGTTTCCATTAAAACTTAAAAAAGGATGTACATTCATTACTTTCTCCTCAGTGTAATTTCATTTTACACACAGAATGTTATGCATTTTCTATCTGTTTATCTGCATATTGTTAAAAAAGCACCACTGAAATCTTATCTTTTTCACTGATATTATAATTTGCTATTAATTATTACACAAATGTATCATATGATAGCAATCCCCAAGAAAGCTTTTTGATTTAACTTCTGAGAAACATATACCGAACAAATCCTTACTCACTAGAATAAGTAGTTCACTATATGTATATAACTGACAAACTATGGAAAATTCTTTCTGTAAAAAACTATTAACACTTAGTTCACATATGTATCATGGACATGGTGCAATTGTATTGTACAGTTGACATCATATATTTTCTCTCACATTCAAATATTGTCGTACCATATCAAAGCAGTTTGCTGAAGTATAACGTAAATTAAAGCAAACAAAAAACAAGAAAATCATTATCACATCTTGCACAAGAAGTAACCATGCAAAAATAGATATAAACAGAATAATTTTTCACGAATACAAATCTGCCAGATCAATAAACTGTTAAAATATCCCTGAAGGTAGTTTCACTATGACCAGAATTTTAATTATGCATTCACAGTCATAGAAACAGTGATTGAAAAAAAAACTGATAAAAAAATTATTACAACACCGAGGCATTACACATTAAACAAACAATAAATAATTTTATAAATGAGAGAAAGAGAAAAATAAATAATGCTCAAAGAGCCTTTAATACATATCACTAAACTGGTTATTCATATGAAAGTATATCTTAGTTCACTTAAAATATCTGAAAATATAATTATATTCAATAAAATTTCACAAAGCCTTACGTACTTTTGGATTTGACTACTAGGTTGCCTCAACAGTATGAAGTCTAATTCAAGGTAGCCATATTATTTCCAAAACATTTTTTTTTAACTATCTAGGCAAATTGAGATTTTCCAGACTTGCCTATTCATACATAGGACACACTTATACTGAACACAATTCTATCTAGTCAATACCACCTTAGCTTATCCTTTAAAATGTAATAAAAACTTCAGACTCTGATAGTACAGAAAAGGACCTGCAAACAATGACACTCTATTTTGATGGTAGACATTAAGCTGTTGCTTTTTTTATTTATAAAAGAATACATGATCTAATTATCATAAAATATAAAAAATTATCACCAGATAAAAGAGTGACCTGACAAGGTTATATTAAAACATACCAATAAGTTGCATAGCTAAATAGCATGGTTTATGTATATATGCAGGTTCTGAGGCAAGAAAAAAATGGACCCACAATTTTCCCTGACTGAGTTTGAAGTTGAACTTAATAAGGTCTTCATACTGTTGAATTTACACTGTTGCTTGGTGCTGGTTCAATGTGGGTTTAAGTTCTTGTAACTTGAACCCACAATGAATCGGCACCAAGAAACACTTTTATACTTATACTAATTATTCCTCAATGTTAACTATCATATATAATAGATTAAATATATACAACACTCCCTACAACCTTACACCTATCATTACTGTCGTTTCTATGACACATGATCAATAACGGACACTTTTTCTAATCTCATTCTTAACATGACGATAATCTAAGGAGGTCAAAACATTATTGGTTTTGTGTTTTTAAGTAAAAGTTTTTAATATCCATACAGCCATCTCTACTACATATATATTTACTTTTCTTTAGATGTGTTTTACTTATCATTTACTTCTTGTTAAATATCCTTTTCAACCTAACCTTGATAAAAGTATTTCCCTTCTCAGAAAATTTCCTTGGAATATTGTTTTATTTTACTATTTTATTATCTTGTAAACTTATGTTTATTATTTTTCTGTTTTTATATCTAAATCCAATTACAGTTACTCTCATTACTTGTTTTGTATTTTCTTGCTAATTTTAATACTATTTACAAAAAAAACAAAAAACTAAATGTTTTAATTAAACTATTTTTTGTGACCATTCTTGCTCCATGTTGAACATGTGTAATTAGAACCTCTGTACATTATAATCTTTGAGTAATTCTTTTGGGGCTTAATTTCAATGTAACATGATCTTTACTGCCTCAAGAAGGGAGTCTATTCAAAACTTTGTACAAAATAAAACTTAAAAAGGGTTTTATTTAGACATTTCAATTTATCTGATTTATAATAACGTGCTATGACTGTTTATTTACCTTCAATGATAAATAAATTATATTTGGTTAGCCCAACAAGCCCACCTACGAGTAACAATGTAGTAAAATGTTTAAAATGACAACAGTGACCTGTTTTTTAAACATATCAGAAAACTGCAAGTAATTAAAAAGAGCTGATGTATAACTCCTCTTTGTTCTGAATCAAACCAGAGTACATTCACAACTGCCAAGTTCTGTAGCTCACTTTTTTGCATTATTGAGCAAATAATAATGCAAATTGTTGCTGAAGAATATTTCACTGAAACTTAAGACTAGAAAAATAAAATTCCACTACAATTAGTTGCATTGGCAAGTAAAAAACAAACTTTTTAAAATTTGTATGTTCAATTCAGACATATGTCTATGTATACATGTATAATTTAACTTGCAATAGTAAAAGAAAGTCATTAAAAACTGTCAAAACACAGAAGACAAAACTTTGAAAACTAAGAGTTTGCCTATTTTTTTCTCAAGGGGTGTATTTTTTCAAGTATTTTCAGTTCATATCACAGAATTAACTGTGCTTTCCAACCCATATGTAACATCTATCATATAAATACATGGTCAATGATAAATATAATTCATACCAAGATTTAGCTAATTTATAAATTGTCTTTGGAAGAATCAAATTTTAAAGGATGTGATCACACTCTTGGGGATGTAACAGCAGTGCAAAACTTTTTGTTTTGTTTTAATATGAAGCACTCCATAATATAAAAAATGGAACTACTGTAATGATCTGTACTATTTTCACCTTATCATAAACCATATTACATTTATCTGGGAGCAAACAGTCAAGTTATCCATTCTCTTCATGGTTTGAGGGCTATTTAATGCAATATGAAACCTATGGTACATTAAATTATGGCTCACATAAAAAAAAGCATGCAATTAACAATATAATACATTTTTACATCTCTCAAATGAATTCTTTAAATCTCATATTGTGTATTTTTGTTGTATATATGTACTTTACTTTCAAGAGATGTTTAAAAATTTCATACAAGTATTTCTTTTTATTATTAATCATTGTTTGTCTACATGATCATGAAACAATAGAAATCAGTGTAATTTATACACAAACAATATATTTAGATCACCATGTTTTACAACAGTAAGGAAAGTGTCAGGTTATTTTTAAGGTTTTCGAAGTAAAGCAACAGGGAATAAACTCCTAATTCTGATATACTACCATGTATTACTATATTCAAAACTAACTCTATGTTCAAAAATAAATGAGTTCTTATAACCAAGTACTTTGCTATTTAGTAATTAAAACACTGTAATGAAAAACCTGCTGTTATTTTTAACAGCAAGTTTCCAATATGTTCTTACCATGTATTCATTTTCATGAAAAACATATATTATGTTAATATAAAATAATGAACAAAAAGTGTTAACAGGATCAGGTTTGGCATGGAGGTGGAGATAACCCTAAGAATGAGTCTCTTCAGGGCAATTTTCACTTGAAAAAACCTTAAATACATTAAAGTGTAATGACTTCTTATGCTAAATTACAAAAAAATCACTTAAATACACTTTAAACCCTGTAACAAAAGCACATAAAACAAGCAAAAATAACAATTCAATACCACAGAACTTTGGTCAAAAACAGATTTTATTAAATATTCACCTTGTGACCATCTAAATGAGTAATATCCATTTCAAATCCACAAAGTGCATCAGTAAGTGAAATTGTGATGTTTGTATACAAATCATCTCCTCTTCGTTCAAAAATGGCATGCCTATTAACAAAAACAAATAGTTTAGAACAAATACCACTTTCTAATCCAGGGTATAAATGAGAACAAGTTGACTTGCTTGCAAGACTGCACTTCAAGAAAAGCAAGAACAAGTCAACCATGATATAACAAAATACTTGAACTACATTTTATGTACACACACAAATATTTTGCACAACAAAAACTGAAAAAAAAAAAAAAAATTATATATATATATATATATCTTTTTACTTTGAAGTATTCAGAAGCCTCAAATTTGCCTGTGTATAAGCCTAAGCTATGTGTGATTTTCCAACAAGAAATAGGTATAAACTGGTCTACTTTTACCCTATTCTGTTATAGACATTATGCAAATATCACTCAAGCTGCCTTGAAGTATCAGAAATATTGCCAGTGCTAAACGCAAGTCAATTTCGAAGAACAGGATAATATTACCTCTGGAGAGTGCTTGGTGACTGTCAGAAATAATAGATGAACACCAAGGCTCTGGGTGGACTTCAGGCAAACAAATGCAATAACACATCATACTGATGCATTGCCTTAGCCACTTACAAATGAATGTCTGGACAGACTGTAGGGGGTTTGGTGGTTCAACACACTAGATCTAGTTTCTGGATACTAGCAAGGCAAACCAAAAGATGAAAATATATCTTAGATGACTACTTTTATAACTTGAAAAAGAATTGTATGAATTTAGTGTTATGTCATTCAGTCTGTATAATGTACCTGCCACTTTTCAAATGTTGATGGAGCTTACACTTAAAGGATAGCAATGGGAGAGATATTTCATCTATATAAAGGCTTGAAATGCCATTAATTTGGAGTTGATCACAAAGCAAGTATGAGCATTGTCCCTTCATCCTTCAAATACTGCTTTGGTCAAGAAATGGTTCCAGCCTAAAAAAAATAAATTAGAATTCCACTACTTTCTAAGATACCCTTTGTTCTATCAACTCTTTGTAGGCAATTTCTGCAAGATAATTAGCTACATCTTTCTCTGCATTTACCAAGTCTAATGTGCACCTTTATTCAAATGCAGGAATATTACATTCTGGTTCAAAAAACATGATTTTGTAAAAGCACAAGTAATAATTGGATGTGGCTTTGTCACATGTCTAAAAAGCATAAGCAGTATATTTTAGCTGGATTGATACATCTCTCAATGTGGAGAAGCATGAGTTACAGTAGTCTTATGATTTGTTTACATGCATCAAAAACATTGACATATTTAAATTTGAGCATTTATATAACTGATGGTGAATAAGCAGGTTGACTTTGTTGATGAGAGCATTGGGTTGTAAAATCTTGAATTTCATGTTGATCACACATTGCCGCGCCATTCCCTTTTACTTATGTTTACTTATGTTTGAATACAAAACAACGATATTGAATAAATCATGATTTTAGTATTGGAATATTTTGCTTTCATCTAACATACTCTCTAAATCAAAATAAGTTTACCTGATATCTTTTCACACCAGAAAATTTTAGCTTTCACAAAAATAGAATTTAAAAACACTTTTAGAATTGAAAGGTTAAGACCTAGTTAAGACCTTTGTACTTGGTAGCTAAGCCTTCAAAAAATTTGCACATAGGTTTTATATATACATTTGAATAACTAAAAAATCATAAATTACTATGTTAATACCATAGAATTCCACTATAATTTATCAAGCTTAGTAACTAAGATGTATTTTAGTCTAAAAAAATATGAAATTTCGAGCTGACTAATGTCACATCCTACCTCGTTGAAATATTGGTTCAAAAGAAAGAAATGGCGCCAAACCCATTAAAATGGCTCAGAAAGCCATTAGGGGGACATTCTGAGCTTCTGATTGGTTATTCATGTCATATACAGAAGTAAATGTATACAAGAGAG